AGGAAGGAGGGCTTGGGAAATTTAACCCCCACAGGGCAAATCGATGGGCAAGAGAGATCAGAGAGGACAGCAGGCCACCTCCCTGACGAGCTTGTGTGAATAAATGATGGAACGGGGAGTGATGGGGATAGGAAGTTGTGATGAGGCATATTTGCCCACGTCTAGAAGGGACACGGCACATAGCTTTTTAGCATATTTCGAAATTCTTTCCAGCTTTAAAGAAACTAAAGCAAAACAAACCACCAAAAAGAGTAAAAAATTCACAAACCTTCCGGATTATCTTCCATTTCTTTCATGATTTCTCTTGCCTTTTCTATTTCTGGGCCTAATTCTGGGAACCCCGCCGCTACACATTCATTAACAATGTGCTCTAACGCTGATTTCTCTTCGCGTTTAATCGCTCGCTTCAGTTTCGCCAATAGTTTCTCAGGAGTCTTAACTCCTGGCAAATTAACGAAAGAAAAAGACTTGTGAAAAAATGAAATAACTCAGACATCACTAGAGATACATAATGAAGTTGATAAATTATTTTCAATATATAACAAGCAAATATAATTTAATATATTTAAATAGTATCCTAAAAGTATATTTTAAAATACGCCTATTTGTTTCCGCCGAGCTAAATTTATCCTATTTTTTAACATCTAAATAATTATCATTTGACCTTCTTTGCATTTGAGGTTTGAGTAACCCAAAGTTCATGAAAGTTAAGGCGCGAAAAATTCATAGAAAATAAAGCTTTTGATTTCTCATGATTTCGAGAGATGGCTGAAATACCAGGCCAGATATGGGGAACTTTTGATTCCAACTTTATACTGTTCGATCGATGTTATAGGACAAATATGAACCAAGAAATAATCAAATGTCATACTGAATAATTATCCTTCTAGTCATTTCTTTCCGGCACGCAAATCCTCCCCAAGCAATACATGATACCAACAGCAAGGACGTCCTGGGTAAGACGATAAACTACATCCGACAGCAAGGCCTCTGATCAGGAGGATTTGAGGAGCATGGAGCCACATCTTAATTGCTGGTGTTCCCAGGTCCACCTTGACCCAGTGTGATAGCACCTGTTAGGGTCCCAGCTATGGGCTAATAGTTAACCTCCAAACTGGGATCAAATCACTATGAAAGTGTAAAAATAGGTTTTAATACCAGCAATACATTTTTTGTTTAAAACATTATTACCAGCAATACATTTTTGAAGAAAAAAATCTTGCCAGCAATACATTTTTGGAAAAAATATTACCAGCAATAAAGATCTTGTCGGCATTAAATAACCTGTTAAGGTTGATATGCCGTAAACCAAACCAAACCAACAGCAAGGTGTAATTCTTGACCTTTCAACTGTCTCCGCCACGGTTTTTAACTTAATGCTCACGCCCTGTCTACTTGGCTGGGGAGAAGAGCTTAAGTCATGTCTTTTCTAAGGGCGTGAATACGAAAGTGAAGGTACAAAGACTCTCTCAGAATTTGAACTCGCCTCATCGATTTTACTTTAAGCCTTACGCCATCCGCATATCCATCAACGGAATAATAAACCCCGATAAATTATTTCGCAAATCATAAACAACTTATTTTCTTTTACAACGGAAAATGTGCTAATTTATTTTAAATTCTGGCCGCTCATATCCGTCTATGTTTGTCTATTAGGGCAGCTAACCAATCCTTGTTGTAGACGTCTGCTTAGGCTCATTTTGTCTTTGTTCAACGCCCACACAGTCTACCTGCGGTCTGTACTGCAACTATGCAGAGTGCACCTTAGTTACAGTTTTTGAAAGAGAGCGCATTATTTGGCGTGATCAACAGTCTGAACAAGGCCAGTACGCTGAAACCCTCTGTCACGATGATTTATGACTTCATGGTAGCATATCCACCAACGGCTACCAAATAATTCTATCTAGCCAATTTAACTCAAAAGGCTCGGATCAATCAGTGGTATGGTTTTAGACACTTTTACTGTTAGCTGATATCGCCTCCCAAGACCGATAACATGAAGACGTCAACTTTTTGATTAATCTACCACGATGAGATTCATGGTCGTAAAACGAAAGTTTCCAACCACTCAACCACACGCCATTATTTTAAATTTATATTTAATAAATATTAATTTTAAATCATTTGAATATTATCTTACCGATGAATACGTAATTTAAATAAAGCAAAAACAAGCAGAATTTTATAGATTTTTCTTGCGAAATTGTCTAGAAACTGGAATCCCAGCCTACGCCAAATAGTCTTGTTAGCAAAAGAAAAACGTCTAAGTTATCGAATACTGAATTCCAATTTATTTAGGGTATCGATCTCATTAATTTATTTGTGATTTTTTAAAGCTATCTCAAAGATTTAGAAAGGCATTCTGCAACCATCCTCATATGAACTGTCGACATAAAAAGAGGCGTCGTCTATATTTAATATCAGTTCCTATGAGTATTGCCATAATGGTTTGTTCTATTGGTTAGTATATTTGCCACTATTTTTTCTTTCTCCGATATTCTAATTGAAAGAAAAGGTGATATTTTTCCATATCGATTGTACACATGAAGACAGCCATAGAATGGAACGGCTGAAACAAGGCACTAATAACAAAAAATGGAATCAACAGCCAAAACAACACATGGAACTCATTTCAGAATTGTGAATTGTGCAACTAAAGAGTACCGATATATAGTTTGGCTGAAAATTTGCAGCAAGAATTAAAGCAAGGAAACAAAAAAAAATAATCAGTATATCAAACAACTATTGGCACAAGAAGCTACAATTAAATTTTACATTTCGAAATATAATAAGAAAAATAGTGACGTTTAATTAAGAATTATTCGATTTATTTTCTCTAAACACAAATAATAAACTAAAAATAAAATAAATTGTAGACATCTAACCTCCACGACCTTCTCCCATTTCTTCAAGAACGTCACGGGCGTAGCCTAATTCAGTGCCCAGCTCAGGGTAACTGGCAACTTCGCATTCTTCGATTACCTTTTCGAGTTTCTCTCTATCACGTTCTTGCATAGCGACCTTCATCTGGTTCCGCAAGTCTTCGGGACATTTCAGTTCTAGTAACAGGGGGAAAATACCATATAATGAACATTCGGCATGGAAACATTCAAAGAAAGAAACCGTAGGTAAAAACAGAGACGGATTTCGTGGGCGTGCGATATTATTAACAGGCGAGTGTCTGAATATAAACTAAGCTATGAGTTGACATATTTAGAAGCAAAAAAAGAAAACAATTGGACATTTGAATGCTTACGGATTAATATCGTCTGTTGACAAATGTTATTTATTAATATTGACCTCCTTGAACTCTAGATTCTTAACCTCTTTAAGTCAAGGATCAATCGTTATCTATTCGCCTTATCTTCATAATATATCACAATATTCTGCATTACTATTTCATCAGTAAGACTCTGGCTGGAACGACTCTCGAGCCTTGCATTGTGCGAAATGTAATATTAATCTTTTTAACGAATGAGTGACTAGCATATTATAAATATTTTTTTTACTCTGGCAAAGTTATTTAACGTGACAGCTGTTCTGCCCTTTCAGCTACGAAAACTAACAGTTGTAACAATGTAACTTTATTTCTTATTTTCCACCGTATCTATATGATCACAAATCTCATAACTACATTAGGGAAGTTGGGGTAACACATATACTGCAGTCATAATAGCAGTGTGTGTTTCTAGAACAAGATAATCTGACGAAGCCCATTCATCTTCTGATTCGGTTTGAATTTAGAGTTGTCCTTCTCCTTGACTGGCTGCCCTAGCAAGGCGGGCGAACACAGTCTATTACTTACGAGTTTTGAATTCAGAGTTATCTTTCACTTTAAATGCATCCCTAGGCAAGAGAGCCTAGTCCGCTTCGACTAGTTAGCTCAACAAAACAAGGATTGATTCCCGCCTTTTCCAAGGCTTTTATTGCGAAGTTTATAAAATAGATTCGGTTAGAATTCAAACTCGGCATTCTAAATTCCGTATCGATTGCCGTTATAATACCAACTCAGCCAAAACTTGTGAAAAAGATCTTTTTAAAAAATTCAGTCTTAACCTTCAGTGACACCATCTAACTTGTGAAGAATGTTCCGCGACTGTTGAATTTCAAAATCGAGTTCTGACATTCCTGCAGCTACACACTCATTAATGGTTCTTTCCAGAATTGGCTTGTCTTTCCTTTCCATGGCCTTAATCAATTTGTTCAGAAGGGAATTAACATTCTTTTTTCCTGGGGACCAGAAAAAAACACTCGTTTTACACAACAAAGGAAATGAAAAAAAATCACGAAATTGTTTATATATATATATATATATATATATATATATATATATATATATATATATATATATATATATATATACTAATGATAATATATGCCTACGTCGAAAACATTGCTCGTAGTGTTTGTGAATTCTCACTTACGAATTCTTTAAATATTAATAAAAGCAGCATAAAATATTTGGATTAGGATGACCATTGCTCTATGTCGTGATAATCTTCTCCGTTTGGTCCAATTTGGGCCTTAAATTTGCAAATAAATAATTTAACCCTACCAATGATTATTGAAATAAAAAAAGGACGAATCTCATGGAATTAAATTTTTAAAATTCTGACCTCCGCGTCCGCCTCCAAGACTTTCCAAAGTGTCTCGAGCCAAAGACAATTGGGGACCGAGTTCTGGAAATTCAGCTTCTTCACACTCTAAGATCGCTTTCTCCAATTCTGATTTATCTTGTAAGCCTATTGCAGTTGTGAGTTTTTCTTGAAGTGAATCTCGATAGCTGGGTCCTGCTAACCAAAGACCAGATTGTTTAAGTTTGTTCAAAGAACAGGCACAACATGAAAACGAAACATACAAATATATATCTGTAGATATACAGGAGGGGGGTTGGAAAGTTCTCAGCGTCCCGTGCAAGAAGAATCCCTAAGAACAATATAAAGGCAAGGGCTATTTCATACATTAACCTTCGCAAATCAGTACATATGGAACAATATTACTCAAGAATAGATAGATAGATAGATAGATAGATAGATAGATAGATAGATAGATAGATAGATGCACACTATTAAATTAAGACACTAAATACGTACCAGGCTACGAAACTCCACAATATATATATATATGTGTGTGTGTATGCACGTATGTATATATATATATATATATATATATATATATATATATATATATATATATGTGTGTGTGTGTGTGTGTGTGAGAGAGAGAGAGGGGGGAAAAGTGTGAGGATGTGTGTTTAAAAAGCCTTATTTATTCGAATAAGATTTTTCAATTTTGAGATGCGTTTGCCTATACACACGCTCAAACAGACGCACACACATACAGATATATATATACACACACAAAAAAAAATATATATATATATATATATATATATATATATATATAAACACAAAACAGATACATATATATATATATATATAAACATACACACACAGACGCAGATATTTATGCAGACGCTCACACACACATATATATGCATATATATATATATATATATATATATATATATATATATATATATATATATATATATATGTGTGTGTGTGTGTGTACGCGTGTTTGGAAATTCGTGAATGCGCATTAACCGTGTCGACCGTATGAAGATATGAAATAATTTATTTTGAGAGATGGAACCAACCTCCGAGTTGTCTATCTTTAAACATGATGACAGTCGAACTTGTGAAACTATAAAACAAACACATTCTACCCCAAATATTCGGCAACATTGTTACCAGCCTTATACATTTTAAGAAAAAACATGATATTCACCATGTTATATGAAAAGATGATATATGTGCATAGAAAAAAATAGAAGGAAGGAAAATATTTTTAAATGATCGCACCTCTTTCACTTTCAGGAAGGATTTTCAAAATGTTCCTGGCTTTCTGGATATGAATGTCAAGTTCAGGAAATCCTGATGCAGCGCATTCTTTAATGGCCTTTTCTAGACTGGGTCTGTCTTTTTGTCGAATGGCTCTCATTAATTTGCCGAGCAGAGAGTCAGGGGTCTTTGACCCTGACAATCAAGAAAACACGTTATAAATTTATTCGCAATAAAACTTTCAAAAATCATTTACAAACATTACCTAAATATCTTAAGTTTTCTTTATATTTCTGTATTTTCTACCGGCTAACGAAAGAAGAACTAAAAATAAAGTTGACTTTGCCGATTCTCATATCGCAGTTACATTATATCAATGATTTATTGACCTTTATTCGTTACAGATTGATATTTGAGGAGTAATTAAAAAGGGAAGACAATTAACCCCCAACTCTAAATAAAGCATACAAATATGTTGGGCTGTTAATTTTCGATCATTTAACTGGATCTTATCAAGGTTAACTATGGCAGAAACCGTTTTTTGCTGCTACTACCTGCGTAGATAAAATACTTATAAAATCATGCTTGGCTCAATTTCTCACTCGCACATGTTCCAGTCAAACACTGTGGCTTGCTAAGTGTCAGAATTTGCATGAAGTGAATAGAACTAATTTCATCCAAAAATTGAACTCGGTTCATCAATTTGGTAACTCGTGTTACTTGTGGCTTTCTAGAGAGACAATAATCGTCGCCTGAAATTAAGTCCAAAAGAGCCGAACCAATTTCTCCTCATCCGGACAAAAGTAATAATAGTGAGATTTCTATAAGTAAGAAACTAATATAGAAAGTCATATAATTTCACAAAAGTAACTCCGAAAACATTCTTTACGCAATATATATTTAAAATTACTATTTTTCCCCTTTTTTCATTAAAATTAGTTTTATTCTGAGAGTAATGGGAATTAATATCGAAATATCAATAAATTTTGTTTATATCTGAAATAATGGTGACCGGCGGCCATATATTTTAGGTTCCTTTCATCTTGTCATATAATTCATGTCGTTTAAAGATTAGTAAATATTTTAGCAGTTCTAAATTGCCTAATCACAGCGTGGGCCTTTATTCAAATCTTAGCTTGACCGACATCAAACCTGACAAAATTGTAAGACTAATTAAAGAGACAATAAACTCATTCTGACCTCCTCTACCGCCTCCTAGAATCAGCAAGGCATCTCGAGCTTTGCGAAGATCGGCAGACAATTCCGGGTAGTTTAAAGTTTCACACTCTTGAATGACTTTTTCTAAAGCTTCTCTCTCGTTTTGTTCAATTGCTGCTTTTAGTTGATTTCGTAGAACATCGACAGGTTTAATATCTGACCGTGAGAAGAAAAATAATCTTTTAATAGTGCATCTAAAACCAGACGTTAATTTGTTTTATCCAAAATGGAAGCTATATTATACAAAAACTATGTTCGCTTAATTTCTGTCTGAATTTCTGGGAAGTCGAGTTATCATTATCTATGTCGGACTAATGTCATCATCTTTGTTGTTGTTATCACAACGTCTCGACCGTTTTGCCCCTAAACTTTCATCAGGTGTCTATAGATCCAGGTTATCTTCAAGAAATTTCGAACCGAACTTTTTATTCAATCTTCGGTTGTAGGTTGTTCTCATTTCGCTGTTGATCCGGATAGTCTTCAAGAAATTTCGAGCGGAATGAGGACAATCTCACTTCGTAAATTGAATAAAGATTTCTGTTTAAAAGTTCTTGAACGTTACTGAACTGACAGACATCTGAAAAGGTTGGAGGAGATTGTTCTCATTTCGCTGTTGATCCGGTGTGTGTGTGGGGGGTGACATCAAGAAATTGCAAGCGAAATGTGGACAATCTCACTTCGTAAATTGAATAAAGATTTTTGTTTAAAAGTTCTTGAACGTTACTGAACTGACAGACATCTGAAAAGGTTGGAGGAGATTGATCTCATATTGCTGTTGATCCGGTTGTGGCGGGGAGGGTATACATCAAGAAATTTTGAGCGGAATGACAACAATCTCACTTTGTAAATTGAATAAAGGTTTCCACTTAAAAGTTCTTGAACGTTACTCAAATTGACAGACTTTTGAAAAGGTTGGAGGAGACACAAAGACAAAAAAAACGTTGTCATCGGAAAAATAAAGATGAAGATATTAGTCAAACTTCAAAAAATATAAATATTATTCCATCAAATCAATCTTTCTCAACCCTATTCCTCCATAACCATATGTTCAGCCAAAAGGCCGCTATGGTTTACCTCGAAAAATAGTGAAAAGTAATATCGTAATTCCCCATGTATAATACGGATATTTTCTAAAAAATTATAAGCAAAATTAAGGGTGCGTATTATGCACAGCTATCAAAAATATCTTTAAAAAATTGCCGTTTCATAGGTCGATTTCAGTTGCGAAATGACTACTCATCACAAACATACGACAATTTAACACTAACATTCAGCGATTGCGACTCTATAAGGATGCCAAATACAATCACATGCACCTAACAATGATTCTTAACATTGGCGCTAAAATCTCCACCGAAACGTACGAGCATGAAAATTGATTTAACCTTTTGATTGATTAATTCGTTTTTTTCACAGCTTATCAAGCCTTTGCAGGTTATATAAAGCCAGAAAATATTTTTAGATTGTAATATATTTTTTGGTGGGTTGGGAGATAAGAATGATTTAGTGATACAAGTCTTATTAATTAACCCATATCTGAGGGGAGATGTGAATATAACAAACCCAAGAGGAATTGAAACTCGGCTCTCCGATTAAAAATTCTGAACCATTATCTATTACACTACCCACACATCAAAGCTTACAACACATAATATTCCCAAGTGGTCACCCATTTAGGTACTGACCAAACTCGACATTGCTTACCATCGGTGATCATACAAGAACCGATGTTTCAACGTAATGTGTACCTTAACACGTTGAACCCTTAATGGAACAAGTCACAACATTTTATGTTTTCCTTATTGCTTGCATATTTTCATTTTAAAGCCTATTTTCAATATTTAAATGCAATATGTTTATGGAGCAAAAAAAAAGTTACAAGCTAAATCTCGGCATTTTGACTGTTCTCTCCGCAGATTAATTGCTATAATGCAACACACAAAATATATAAAACCTAGACACATAGGGGACATCAGCGCTAATATCTGAAAAATAACGCTGGAGAGCAAAAGGTTTTTGAACCACCAGAATAAAGGATGAATTTCAAAATACGACAGATTCCTGAAGAAGGCTGAAGGGTGTAATGGTCGAAATCTTGTGACTATGATAATGAACGTGGGAAAAACAGTTCGAATAAATCAGTGATTAGTAATTATTCCTAATGACAGAAATTCAGACAGAAAAAATTAACATTTTTTTTTTTACTTTGTCCATTCCAGCGTATCTACGTTACGCTTTCTAATCATAAATTAATCAGGGTGAACCAAAATATACAAAATAAAGAACAGCTGAATTATTTAATAACATCATCAGATTCTAACCTCCTTTCCCGCCTTCCAGAACGTTCAGTGTTTCCCGGGCTTTTTGTATTTCAAGATCCAATTCAGGCATGCCGGCAGCCACACTCTCCGTTATTGCACGTTCCAAGAAAGTCTTATCCTGACTATCAATGGCTTTCTTCAATTTGGATAAAAATTCATCTGGTTTCTTTGAACCTAATTGTCAGAAAATGCAATTTGTTTTTAGGTATTCACTAAAGATGGAGCTTAAAAAATTAAATTGAAATAAGTCAGTAAATATATATATATCGTAAAACTGTTGTAATATCATTTTATTTTAGAATTTTAAACATGACATTTTACTGCCAGTATTTTATTAATTGCCTTTATTTTATTGCTACTTCTTATTGCAAAACGTCCCAATTCGATCTGGTTTATAACATTTTAAATAATCATCTGGAAATAAAAATAAAACTAAATACATTCAGACAATTCTTGAATTCCCATCACAAATCTCCCGAGTTGCAACGCTTTAAACAAGTCACGGAAGTCCAATATATATACTTTTATTTTGAATCATTTCACCCCATGCAAAGTGATAATGCCATTAAGACGCAAGGGTGTGGTGAGAGCGAAAGATAATAAAACAGGATTCAGGAAGGGAGAAGATGGTTGTGTCATTTAATGTTTTGTAGATTTTATGCGACGCAAGAAACCAGAAGATATTTCCAGAAGTGAGAATTCTAAGAAAAGAAACTATTAGAATAGAATTTACGGTTATATCTAGCTAATTCAGCAGTAAAACGATGAGACCCAATTGCCAATCGAGCAATATACTTAAATTCACGCGGACAAGGTAAGAAAGATCATTAGAACATTTACCACGAGATCAAATCTTGAAGCATGTTGCTCTTTCTACTTTACTTTTCTATTCTTTACAAAATATTGTTTTCCATTTTGCTTTTTTGGGTTCTTTTACGCTTTGTATTCTTAGAAATCTTTTTTTTTTTTAATTCTGTAACGAACTGTCCTGTTGCTGAATTTGTTAATGGGTAATCTAATTTAAAATTCTCGCGAGATATGGAATGGGAATTCAAGCTTCTTTAGAGGTTACGTCTTTATTTCAAATTCACACAGGACATTTTAATCGCCGACTTGAAATCTTATGATAAGAAGCAACAATAAAATGAAGCACTCAAAAATGTTCAATTAAATCATATCATCTCATACTTGAAATTAGACGAAAATGAACATTTTCTGATTGATGTCTTCAGATATAAAACATGAAATGTAAAAATTCACGCAAGAAGGTTTTTTAAATATTTTCCTGGAGATACTAAATTTTACTTTAGCAGAAAATCCGGACCTATTAAAAATGCAATCGGGAAATGAAGAGCAAGGAAATTATTATTTTATTTATCATATATATATATATATATATATATATATATATATATATATATATAATCGTAAAAAGCTGACCGATTATCGTTTCTGATTCTTCATCATTCTATTAAGGAATAAAGAAAGTGATTGAGCTCTGAAGAGTATCGAGCGATAACCAGTCAATTTTATTTTAATTTTTTATTTCAATTCATCCTCTAAACGTAATTATAGATTGTTTTTCTTTCATTTTTGCGCTTCATTTGACTGTTGCATTTTTAATATATCCATCTTATTTTCAAATATATGACTTTTTCATTTATACATATTAACTGGCTACTGACACTGGATCGTATATATATATATATATATATATATATATATATATATATATATATATATATATATATATATATATATATATATAACGATCTTAGCGTTGAGCTTATTAAAGAAAAATGGCTGACATAATGATCTTATAAACGCTAACCTCCTCGACCACCTCCCAATTGGTCAAGCGTGTCCCTGGCCTTTCGCAGATCAGCACTCAATTCCGGATATTCCTCGGCTTCACATTCATCAATAACCTTCATTAGCTGATCTTTGTCCCTGTGCCTGACAGCGGCGCTAATTTTGTCTCGTAAAATATCAGCCGGTTGAAACTCACTACGAGATTCTGACAAAAGCGAGGTTGAAAAGTACGAATTACAAACACGTTTTCAGACAATGAAAAGTAAAACCAGAAAAAATAAAAAGCAAAGCTAAATCGATCAATGTAAAAAAAAAAGAATGGATGTTATTATTATTATTATTATTATTATTATAGTGATTGATCGATACCAATCAAGCTATAAACATTTATTATTGTAACCTAAAATGAACAATATAGAGTAAACATTAACATTATATTGATAATTTATCACAAGTCTACAACCATTAGGCATCCGACGAGAGTTGAACGCGCTACACTGTAATACCCCCGTGTGACAACTTTTGCCATTGATCTACGATGTGTTGCATATGTGTAATATTTTATTGTTGCTGTTTTATTGAGCATCTATTACTTACGATTCTGTCATAAAATTATATTACGAATTCTGGAGTTGACTAAAAACCTCACTGCTGAATATTTTCTAATAAAATATTAAAAAAGAACTTTGGAAATCATTTACCCTAAGTTTTATATTTTCCACAGTTTAATATTTTTTTTTTACATTTTACATTCGGTTTACAGTAATATATTGCCTTTGGTTTTAGGAAAGATTTCACACACAATTTAATACTACGTATGCCCCATGATAGTTGTTAAATATTATTGTATGAAATTTGCACGCGAATGTAAAAAATATTATAGGACAGACGTAATAGAATATTTTATCCTTGCCATAATAAAATAAATTATAAACCACTGAATAGAATATATTAAACTCAGATTAATAGAATATATTGAACTAGGTTTAATGTAATATTTAAACTTAGTTCAATAGAATATTTTATAATCAATTTAATAGGATATATTACACTTGTTCTAATAAATTATTTTACACTTGGTTTAAGAGAATGTATTACACTTCGTTTAGTGTATTATTTAAACTTAGTTCAATAGAAAATTTTACACTCGGTTTAATAGAATATATTTTACTTGGTTTAATAAATTTTGCACTCGATTTAACATAATATTGTACACTTTGTCTAAGAAAACACATTACATCTAGTTTAATAAAATCATTTTAAACACAGTTTGACGGAACTAACCTTGCCTTTCACCCGGAAGAGAAATGACAGATTTTCTTGCTTCTTGAATGTATTGGTCAAGTTGTGGCAGACCACTAGCTAGGCTTTGGTCAATGATTTTCTCCAACTTTGGTCTCTGTCGCTGGGAAATTGCTCTTCGAAGTTCTTCGATGAGCGGGTCGGGTTTTTTGGTTCCTAAGAACCAGAAATTTCTAATTTAATGCTTGATGCAAAGGATTTAAACGAACATAATTGATAATAAAAAAAAAACTTGAAACCTGATTCTATATTCTTGATATTTTAATAATTTCCTTTTTCATGTAAACATTTTATTCTAAAACCGAGTATTTTGTGTTTTGCATACAACTGGTAGGTGTGCATCTCATTGCGAGTGTATTATCGTGACTCCATGAGATAGGTATTTAATAAACTAGCAAGTATAACACAAGGACAGTTGAAGAAAAAAAAAAAGGAAAATCGTGTTGCGCTTGTCTCCAAGCAAAGATGGCCAGCTAGCCTTCAAAATCAGCATTCGAAATTCTAATGTGTATCTGTGCTTGAACTCCGACCATCGATTTGAGAAACACCCAACTATTTTGACATGCAGCGGAGTAGTCTTCCAATTGAAATCAAATTCTGTCTCTTACTAAAATTACATTAATTCGACATCAAGCCGATCCTATGAGCTTAGTACATACCAGGCACAACAAATAAGTGGAAAGGGAGTAAGAAGACTATAGTGCGCCAGGCTACAAATAGGGTAATTCTTTTTTTTATACCAGTATTTTAATTAGACTCCAATAATGGTACCAGCGCTAAGTACGCAAATCAACTACCGACCATGCTAAAATTTGGAATTGTGCATGCAGATTAATGCGCTTAGTTTGCGACAGAGCCTCTGTAACAAGACAATCACGTAAATTAAACTCCGTTTGCCGATGGTCGAGACTAAATAGTTAATCAGCATTTTGCAACTACTGTAAACTGATAATAATGAAAAAAATTAATATGTATGTATATAAAGGAAAAGACAAGAGGAAAAGCTTTCAAGCCAATGCGTTTTCGTTTCTTCAGGGACTGTATCAAGGAAGAAAACGACCCGACATAAAATGTTTTCCTCTTGTCTTTTTTACATATTGTCTTTACAGATACATACATACATACATATATATATATGTATTAGACGAATATATATATATATAGGTTTGTGTGTATATATATGAATTTTCACAGACACACACAAATTATATATATATATATATATATATATATATATATATATATATATATATGTAGACGCACTTTTTATTCATGCACCTACTATTATTATATTTTCTTTAATGATGGGAATTCTTTTTTGAATCCACATGTCCCCAGAAATAAGGATACCTACAGTGATAAATATGTGGGATTTCCATCGCAAACATTAATATATATATATATATATATATATATATATATATATATATATATATATATATAAGGCAATATTACGGATCGGACAAACGAAAAACTTAAGGTAAAATGATAAAAATCGGAAAAATAAATCAGTAAGAAACTGCTAACCTCTTTGATCACCGCTCAAAGTTGCAAGCATTTCTCTCGCGTTGCGAAGCTGAACTGCCAATTCCGGGTAGCTCGCCGCTTCACAGTCTTCAATTGCCTTCTCCAGACTAGCTAAATCTTCCTCACGGATTGATTTCTCCAATTTTTCCCGCAATAAATCAGCAGGGATCATTTCTATCAACCAGAAGAGGCGGGAGTTGGCTAAATTACTAAGCATCTATTCTTTTATATATATATATATATATATATATATATATATATATATATATATATATATATATATATATGAACGAAGGTGAATCAATATATTCGCAACAACTTTACCTATCCTTTATTTGCTCATAACCTTCAATTCCTACTTGCTACGCTTATATCCTATATGCGCATATCATTTAATAACCCTCTGCTTTAAGTGGCTCTTGAACCTTGTATTGGATGAAGATTATTCAAAAAAGCATATAATAATCATGGGTCGATTATTTCTGTCATAAATGTTACACAAGGAAAAGGGTATATTTAAAAAGAATATATATCTACAAAAAGGAATATTGAAATTCTAGAAGTTATTTATAATGTCAGCTGACATAAGGTCATATGAGTACAAACATGACTATACTAGTTCCGAAGAAATACCAAGTCATTTACCAAGCTTTACTTCATTTGGTATAAAGCCAAATTTTTAGAGGTTCTGTAGGTATTACATTTTTTATTGATATTTATTAAAAAAATAAACATTAGAAATATAATAATAATATTAATAATAATAATAATAATAATAATAACAAAGACAAATCAATAACACCAGTCAAAATACATCACAGTAGAATTTAACGCATTTTAAGGCCAGCAGAACCTTTTGCTCAATCGATAACTAGAACGACATTAATCAATGATGTATATGTATAATAATATATGTATGTATTCTAACCTCCGCGCCCTCCACCCAAATGTTCGAGGGTGTCTCTGGCCATTCGTAGATCATCCATCAATTCTGGATATCCAGCTTCTTCACACTCTTCAATAATTTTCTCAAGGCCAACTTTTGATTGCAAACCAATGGCTCGTTTGATTTTGTCTCGTAAACGTCCCGGGTCCTTGATACCTAACCAGCAAAAATATTCACATATTTCATTAAAACAGGTTTTGACTTATCATATAAATTTCTCTATTCCACTCTCGTTAGACAAGGCATGCGTAAAGTTCACCTCTAGATAGATCAACAATATGAGAGAATATGATATGACGGGTAAATGAATGACAAAAATATCTCATATGATGAGCTTCGTACTTCGAAAGAACTTCTTCAGACTAAATAATGATTTCATTAATAGAGTCATATTACTTTTTGGAATTTAAGTATCTCTGCGTTTTCAGCTTTTCTCTTGATGTTATTTTATATCAATGGTCATTGAAAGTCTAACGAACATATTAATATAAAAATACAATAAATCTAAGCAACAGTACTTATTGAAGGAATCGTTAGTTCGTTAATATAAAAATAATTTGGGTTTAAAGTTTAATGTTTTTAGTTCTCATAAACTTTTTGATATGAGAATATGATACATGAATATGTATCAGTAATTGAGTGAAAAAAGGAAAAGACTTCGAAAGGACTTCTTCAGACTAAATCTTTTTATAGGAGGAGGGACCATATATATATATATATATATATATATATATATATATATATATATATATATATATACATTGAATAAAAAAAAGATCACTTTAAGGTTCCATGTAATAAGTTATTTCACCACAACCCTTTCAAAAGGCTCTGAATCATCAGACTTTAGTTCCAAAAGTTGAAATGAATATATATATATATATATATATATATATATATATATATATATATATATATATATATATATGGAACAGATTACAGTTAAATGTCAATTATAAGTCAAGAGAAACGCTGAAAATGCAGAGACCGTAAACTACACAGAAATATATATGCAATAATTATTTTTATTCATTTTTCAAATTACAAAAAACAATTTCCTGTAAATGATCTAAAGTTCAACATCAGCGTTATCATTATGAGCTTTGTTATTTGGACTGTCACAGCGTTTCGGTCGTTATAAACACCAGCCTTCTTCGGGTACAAGACTCTTTAGTTGATCCACAGGGGCAGGTTGTTCTCATTCATGGCAAGAAATGTCCGCTAAGTGTTGAAAGTGGAATGAGAATAATCTACCCTATGAAGCGAATTAGGTTTTGTTTCGAAATTCCAAGAAGATTACCCAGTGCAAAAACAAGCACCTGAAGATAGCTGAAGTCGAAACATTGTGAATATAACAAACAAAGCTGGTCTGAATAGCAAAATATCTTAATGATAATTTCTCATGCCATAAATATTGTTGTGAAAAAGGAACATTACAATATAAGTGTTGATATATATATATATATATATATATATATATATATATATATATATATATATATATATATAATTAAAAAGACAACAGACATTTTGTTTCGATTAATTTAATGTATATCCCAACATTCTTTGCCTACGTTACAACAATCAACAGTTCTACGTAACTCACCATTTGCCTTTACCTACTCTGATAATGACTTAAAAAAATTCGAAGGCTTAGACCATATTTCTTCCGAAATGAACTTTGGACAATTTCTGATGGAATTTTCTCCTTGACTGAGAATATGGAAAAGTCGATCAGTAAAATTAATCGACACAAAATGTTTGACTTTAATAATATTTGCCTTAAATAACATTTGCGATCAAAATATACAGAAATATTTATTTATATTTATATATATATATATATATATATATATATATATACAGAACATCATTTATATATATATATATATATATATATATATATATATATATATATATATATATATATATATACAGAACATCATTTATATATATATATATATATATATATATACATACAGAACATCATTTATATATATATATATATATATATATATATATATATATATATATATATATATATATATATATATATATATATATATATATATATATATTTATATATATATATATATATATACAGAACATCATTTATATATATATATATATATATATATATATATATATATATATTTATATATATATATATATATATATATATATATATATTTATATAAAATATTTATATATATATATATATATATATATATATATATATATATATATAAAGATATTGTTAAATATAAAAGACAGCGAATGCCTGTTATGTTTGATCATGAGCCGTTCTAATCTTCGTATAGTGGCTTTAGTTTCGAGAGAAAATAAAGACAATAACTGTCCAACATTTGGATATTTTTTTATTATGCTATTCATCGACTAAAGCTTTCGACTCACATGAGCCATCATCAGAGTGATTGTGAAAATCTTTGTTGTCATATCCATATAAAGCATAATAAAAAAATATCCAAATGTTGGACAGTTTTTGTCTTTATTTTCTCCCAAAACTAAAGTCACTATATGAATGGCTCATGATCAAATATAATAGATATTCGTTGTCTGTTACGTTTGAATAATGATCTACTGTCCCTACACACACACACACACACACACACACATGTATGTGTGTGTATGTGTGTGTGTAAATAATACTCGTTAGATTTGTATGAATATAATGCATATATTTTAGAGGAAAGCAAACACGTGTTTCAAATATTTATAACGCCAACCTTCGTTCTCTCGCTCCAGTTGTTTAACGGCTTCTCTGGCTCGTTGAACTTCGGAATCCAGTTCAGGAAATCCCGCCGCGATACATTCGGTAATCGCTCTTTCAATGGCGTCTTTATCATGCCGTCTGATTGATCGGTTCAGTTTGCCGAGGAGAGTGGTGGGCGTCTTCGATCCTATCGATCAAAGCAATTTTAATAAATCAAAAGCTGTCAGCATTTAACCGTTCACGTATCATTACAGAGGGGTGATGTTTCTCTTTACAAGGGTCAACACTTAAGACAGTATAACAGAAAACGCACTCATATATATATATATGCGATATTTTAAATATGACTTGTTTGGACGGTTGAGCTGCTTTTGATTTTACGACGGCTCTTTTAGAAATCGATTATTCAGTGTTCTTCAGGTGTACAATTCAGAAGAAAAGAAAGAGGCCTTTTTTTTAAAAAAAAATATAGAAATAAAACCACAATTAAAAAGGAAATCTCTAACGGATTGTACACCTGAAGAATAGATCAAAGATAAAAGCAAATAGTTTTACTATTATGTGTATCAAACAAACATACATAAAAGACTGATAAGTGTACAATAAGGCAATCACTAGTTTTTTCTTGTTATTGCATACTCTAAATCTGTGACCTCTGAAATTTGATAATCCGACGACATTGGTAACTACCCGAATTGTAAAGAATATATATATATATATATATATATATATATATATATATATATATATATATATATATATAAAAATAAATGAGAATGTCAGTGTGTCACACTTTTTCAACTTTTACTCCTAGAGTAGCCCAACATATCATACCATTTTGGAATCAAGCCGACTCCGGGAGCAAATTAAAGACATTCCGAGCCGCAATCCTGAAAACTTGGATACCCAAATTTCCATTACTGCGATTTTTTTCGGCGATTTTTTTATGTGATTTTTTCCGACGAATTTTTTTGTATGATAACAATTTTTATAACTTTGAAATTAATTACGAAATCCAGCGAATGTCACGCATAAAATAAAAAAAATAATTGTTTGTGTGAAAAGTAAGGACCTATGTACATCAAATTTTGACTTCAGATTATTGTTGCCTGTCGCATCTACTCTCTCTATCTATTTTGATGAAGGCCCAATCAAAACATTTCGCAGGAGCTAGCTTAAATGCTACCCGAAAGATTGATGGTGACGTCATTAAAATATAAATTTTCGGAAAGACTAATAAAGCTAACGTAGTGGAAATGAAAGTGAATGAAGTGAATAAATCCAGTTGTGGGGGAAATGGATCAGAATTCGGTTAATCCTGGTTGCATCCCCCTGGAAAGAGGATCCAAGCCGAAATTTCCGATGATCCCGGTTATAAAACATCGCTGACCAGATACACCAGTGTATCGGAAAAGCGTGTTCTGCATACCAAAAACGCACCCCTCACACAAAACTATCTCTCTCTTTCTTTCTTTCTTTCTTTCTCTTACTCACACACACACACACACACACACACACACACACACACACACACACATATTTTTCAAACATTTTTGCTTCATATTATAAAAAATATCTGAAGTGGAAATTTTGGAGTCAAACTTAAATTACCATTTTTCCTACGACACACAATATGGTTGAAATATGGGGTTGGACTAAGAGCGGGAAAAATCAGTGCATAGCTTACATGCACAAATAGCAGAGCAAATATTTAAGAACATAACGAAATTACAAAAACTCTAACCTCCGCGCCCGCCATTCAGCGTCTCAAGCGTGTCTCTGGCTTTACTTAAGTCATAACTCAATTCCGGGTATCCGGCCTCCTCGCACTCTCTAACCGCTTTCTCTAAGGCTGTAATGTCGCCATCCTTTCGGGCTCGCCTCATCTTATCCCGTAACTCCTCGGCCGATTTTAAATCTGACAAATTAAATCCAGTGTTAAAAAGAAAAAAAGAAAATGGAAAAAAAGAAACGAAAACATTTAACAGCGTCGACAAAAACAAATATTTTATCGCGAAGAATTAAAGTTCTTGTATTCCAAAAAAGGAAAGTCTTCGATATATCCTTATCCGCGGTTAAATGATACCGCGGATAAGGATATATCTATACTTGAAATAATATTTCCTTACTAGCTTATATTCTAATGTGATTATATGTGTGATATATATATATATATATATATATATATATATATATATATATATACGCATATACATATATATACGTATACATATGTATACATATATAAATATATATATATATACACATATATATATATATACATATGCACATATATATATATATATATATATATATATATATACATATATATATATATACATATATATATATATATATATATATATATATATATATATATACACACATATATATATATATATACACATACATATATATATATATATACATACATATATATATATACACACATACATATATATATATATATATATATATATATATATATATATATATATATATATTTTAAACTGTATCAGATCTAAAAAATAGTCTTTTATTGAATATCTCGAACTTATTAAGATGCAAATATACTGAATGTAAACCGGAGTGCTGACTGAAGGTCTCATAAATTCGTTAACAATACATTGAATCTAAACTTAATTGTTTTTCTAAGGTCTCATAACCTTTATAAATTCCATATATAAGACTACAAGTAGGTAACTGAATGACAAAATGGAAAACGTCTATGTAACGCATTTCGTCTTCTAAAAGGTCTTTCTCAGACTAAATAATTTTATATTAATGGATTCATGTATATGTAAGATGAACAAAAATATAAACAAACATCAACATAATTAATAATCGAGAGAAAGGCTGAAGATGCAGTGATGCTTACATTTAAATTTCAACTCCTTCCCCCAATATATTGGTTGGTCCATCAATAAAAAGAAATTACCCAATCTGAAGAAATCCTTACATAGAATTATTTTCCATTTTGTCATTGAGTTACTCAAATTTATTAATATAAAGAGACGCGTTGGATCTAAAGAATCTGTGCTTCTTGAAGTTCCCAGAATTTCATTAATATAAAGAAGACATTCGATCTCAATATACGTATGTTAACTCTGTTGATACAGTAACATTCATTTGGTGCCAATAGTCAAAATGGTCGCGTGCTAACCTCGTGTGTCACCCGTAAGCGAACGAAGAGCGAACCGAGCCTTGGTGATTTCGGAGTCCAGCTCGGGTTTCCCTGCCGCTACAGATTCGTTAATGGCTTTTTGTAATAAGGCTTTGTCTTTTTCTTTTACGGCTTTCTGCAGTCTGTCAAGATAGCTTGATGTTGATCTAAATCCTAGAAATCGAAAACAACGCATTTAAATGTATAAAATCATCTATGGTTCAAGATATTCCTTATTTCAACAATCGGTTTTCGATGGCTAAGTTGGTTCTAAATATTACAAACAAATGGTAATTATTTAAAATATTCGGCAAAGAGGATAGAGTAACACCAGTAAAATAATCCGAGTGAAAAGTTTTAATTTAAAAATCAACATTAATAAGATCGTACAAAACTAACAATAAAATATGGCAGTAAAAATTCTACTAAAAAGCAACAATAAGATTCAAAATAGTAATTAAATAACAACAGTGAAAAGGCTTCAACTAAAAAGCATTAATGATATGGCTTAACATGAATAATAAGACAATGACTGTGAAAAGTGAAATATCAATATTGAAAAGACTTCATCTAAAAAGCTGGTATAAATATAAGATTGAGATTAAATTTATCAACAAAATAAAAATTCTAGGGTAATATAATTTCGCACTCTATAATGTTGGCCACTAAATAAAGATGGTGCAAACACGCAATGATTGAATAATAATAGTAAAAACGCTTCATGTAAACATTAACAATAAGAAAATAAATTAATAAATCACCAATAATTGCAAAAAATTGATACAAAGACTTATTTGATTTATATGGATAAGATATTTGTGTAATATGTAACCTTTTCTGAAAACAAAATGTCTGCATACAGAATAAGAACAAATTCAGTGAATATACAAATACAGAAAGAAGATTAAACCAGAAAGAGTTTTCCTCACTAATACAGCGACATTATCTTATGATTGACCAGGATTTACTATCGGCAAATTACATGTTATTAAGAGCGTGCCTTTATAACAGACCAAAAATAATTCTATGATGCTAACCTCCTTGACCTCCGCCTATACTTTCTAAAGTTCTCCTGGCTTTTCGAAGCTCAAAAGACAATTCGGGAAATCCTGCCGCTTCACACTCTGCTATAACTTTTTCCAGCTCAACTTTGTCCATTTCTTTTACGCCTCTTCTCAACCGTTCACGGAGTTTTGACGGTGTCTTATCTTCTGTTTATCAAAATGGCACCGACAACACAAAAAAAAATGAAAACAGAAACGTCTTATTTATCAGCATTTAAAAATTAAAATCGTTTGTAATATTTATTTTTCTTGGCAGCAAATTTTAAACTAATAGAAATATTTCAACAACATTAGGTTCTGGCTATTAATAGTTACTTTATTTTAATACAAAAATACATATTGCAGATTTGTCAATGAATTAGTTGATATTATTATTTTAAGATTTTATTTTATAAACAATCATTGCGATCGCTTCACTATGGCGCAATGGCTATCAAGTACGTCCTGTAACTGATTTCTTTGTAAGTTAAGTTTGTAATTTAAAAATAAAAGAATCCGTGTTAATCATACTATTTTTTTTTTTTTTTTTGCATACATCACAACTCAAAAGAAGCAGTAGCCCATAGAAGCAATCAAACACCCACGCAGGTAGTCTATACACAGACAGCAATCGCCCACGCACAAAATGTTCGAGACAGCCAATAAGATATAAAACTGGCCACAGGTTATCTAAACAGCAGTCTTAACTGCGGTCCTGATACTTTCAAACCAGCCGATCAGAAGTCACATACACACAGCTGCTCAAAGAATCTAACACATGCTACTCAATCAATCTGACACATACTGCTCAATGAAAGAACTTTCAATTCACGCAGTAAGTCACTTATAAACTTTATATGAAACAAATACAAACTTTCTACATTAAACACACACAAAAGGCCTTTTTTCTTTCCTTGAAATCTCTCTTAAATTGTTATATAAAATGTTGCGTTTATTATAAACATAGTTCATAATTATTTGCAATTTATTAAAGGAATTAATTATTTATCGAAGTTTGGGTTGATAAACTATTTCCTCACGTTCTATCCTAGTGAGTTGGAGATTAGTATTTGTGGTCTCTCTGCCCGACTCTGTTATTTTCTTTTTTAATTGCATATAAACAACAGCTGCGCATGCGTTTCTTGAGAATATATCTACATAATTATAATCATATATTTGTTAGTAGAGAAAAATATTTTTCATTATCTTATATGAAAGAAAAAACATAAAAAATATAAAGATCTTTAAGAAAAATACGCAAAATCATTCAATAAAACTCAAAAAAAAAAAAAACCCGTAAATAATCGAACCTTCTCGATCCTCTAAAAGTCCCTGAAGAACTTCTCTGGCTTCTTGTATGTCTTCTTCCAGTTCTGGAAATCCAGACGCTACACATTCGTTGATAATTTTCTCCAGATATTTCGGATTTTTTCGCCTGATCGCTCGCGTCAATTTCCCCAGTAAAACATCTGGAGACATTGATCCTAATAACCGAAATAAATTTCCCTCTTAATCCAAAATGTTTCAGAAGTAATAAAAATTGACACAACAAGTTTGCAAAGATTACGTTTTTGAGACAAGGTTTCTTTATATTAATGTCATAAGGTCAAATGTATATTCCTTATTGTTTCGAGTTCACTGCAGACTTGCAGTGGAACTCGTATATACGATCCATTTTTAAAGATACTGTAAAAATGGACTGCTCATTCTTTAGCTTCAGAAAGCGTCAGACGTCTTCTGCCATGCCTTGTATTCATGTTAGGGTAGAGCAAAAAAAAATGAAGTATTACTGCCATATGCAGGCAGAAGTTGATCAGTCCTCGATTTCTAGCTTTGACCGATTTCAAAATCGCATACGCGGTTTTTGGAGCAGGACTTACTCTCCACCTGTAGCCTCTATCGCACAGAAGTAACGTCGCAAGCCTATCGATAGTCGATCGCTATTTCCATGGTAAATGTTCAAATGAATGTTCGTTCTACCATTTCAGACATTTACATATCTGACATGTCAGTTTACTTCCACGGAGTCGGACCGTCTTCATTTAGTCCGCATTCCAAATGTAAGGAAAAACTTTCACTCACTTTTCTAAAGAACTGTTACTTTTTGGAACAGACTCCTGTGGGGATGCTTTCCTGAAAACTCATCTTAACCATTTCAAGTCAAGAGTTAACCGTTATCTACCTCCTTATTCTCGTAACTTCCGATTCTTACAACCTCATATCACACCTCATTTCCTATAACCATTTTAGCAGTAACTGTCTACCTTGACTGGATTTCAAGTGGGTGAACTTTAGTATAAAAAATATTGCAAATCAAGATAAACGGTTTACACCGTTGAATATATAAAAACAGAGTTTAAATATTCTATGGCGTAAACTTTGAAACTAACTTTCATGTTCATCGTATTTCAAGACAAAAATCATAATGTATGATGCTAACCTCCACGACCTCCGCCCAAGATCTCAAGGGCGTCTCTGGCTTTGCAAAGATCTTCACTCAATTCAGGATAGGCAAGAGTCTCACTTTCACTGATGGCGGCTTCCAGTTTTGATTTATCTCCCTTGTCGATAGCTGATTTCAGTCGCTCGCGTACAGCGGCGGCCGATTTCAGCTCTGCCAATCAAAATGTTTTTTATTTAATAAATCATATAAATAAATACTAATAATAAATTTTAAAAAACAAGTTTTTTTTTTTCATATTTCAAAAACAGCTGTTTATATCTAACATTTAAAATATACTTGTCTTCATGCGTTGTGTTTGTATGCTACAGAATTATTGATTTCTTGTATTCGGAAATTTACGTCTAACTATCTAAACTTAGTAAATATTTAAAACTAAGTGTTTCTACCTTTGAAAAACTACATAATATTATTCTCTTTTCGATTTGTTCCTACGTAGATATGTTACGCTTTTACACCATCTTGCTGTATTCAATCAATAAAATCTGAGGCATCAGATAATTCAACACTTTTGATTCAAAAAATTATTTACATAATAATCTAATAACAAACATAAATCTAGTGCAAGAACTTCAAATATATTTTCAACATACATACCTTCCAATTTATGATGTGCAAAATATATCAAATTAGTTTACAAACATTAAAATCATTATTTAATCATGGTTTTTATTTTATTATATAAAAAATTATTAATGAATTTTTATACATCAACAGTTCACTTTTTACTGCCTTTAACCCTAACTCATAACCCTAACATATTTCATACTTCCAACATTTAATAAATATCATGCTATAGTAGAAAAATTTATATTAGATATTATACTATAATAGCATCGTTTATTGTACAGATAAAGATTCTAGATTATTTATGGAAAAACATAGTCACTTCAATTGCAAATTTACTTAAATATATCTGTAATTTATTTAAGAATACGAGTAAAATAATTTATATATAAAATTATGTGGCGAAGTTTAATATATTGTTCCTACCGGTTTATTAATTATATACTGGAATTGTTTGTTGAGATATGGAAAAAATTATATATTTCTAGGAATATGTATATATCGGAATATATCAAGGCTAACCTCCTTTCCCGCCTTTCAGTTGGTCCAGTGTGTTTCTAGCTTGGTCAATGTCTGAATCCAATTCAGCTAGCCCAGCTGAGACGCACTCATTTATAACTTCATCCAGGCCACTTTTATCTTTTTTCTCCATCGCTTTTAACAGTTTTCCTTTCAATGATTCCACTGTTTTGCTTCCTAAGAAACATAAAAGACATTTTCCTTCAAAAAAAATAACTGTTGACTATCATATAAAAATACTGAAAGATATTGTCAAAAAAAAAATGCTGGAAAGTTTTGCATCGAGCTAATAAAACAATGCATCATGCGAACACGAAAGAAATGTTGGTCATAATCATATACAAGAGAGAGCGTAGGATTGTCTCGGATGCTAACCTGCGGGACTTCCTCCTAATGATTTTAGGGCATCGCGAGCTTCCCGAAGGGCATAGCCCAGTTCCGGTAAGGATGCAGCCTCGCATTCGCTCACTGCTTTCTCCAAGTCAGATATGTCTTGCTTCTTTACAGCTTTTCGTAGACGCTGACGCAAAACGTCAGGCGTTTTCACACCTGACAAACAAACACAATATCCCGTGAGTAAAACACAATAAACATTGATGACTGACTGCATTAGATTTGTAAGACTCTTAATTAAAAGTTTACCTAGTACTACCACTGATATTGTATTTCATGATTATATATATATATATATATATATATATATATATATTTAAATTCAATTATAGGTGCAGTTCAACTTATAATTACATGATTCATTCATATAAAAAACAAATATAAAAGTTAATGATTTAAATGGCAAGAATATCTCTTATATATATATATATATATATATATATATATATATATATATATTTTCGTTGTTGGAAGTGCTATCTGATGATCCGGCGTCCTTTAAAAGGAATCTGGTGAAATAAATTATTATAATGGTACCTTAAAGTGGTCTGTTTTTCTTTTAAATAAAAATATATATATATATATTTATATATATATATATATATGAACAAATAAAAAGTGACAACTTATCTTCCTGATTTCAAGTTTCGCAGATATAATCCGCTTCTAAATTGAATTTATTAACATATATCATTATCTTTAATATATAGGATATCTGTTAATAAATTCACTTAACTAACCCCCATGAGCGGAGTAAATCTGCAACAGTCGAAAGAATAAGTTTTTGAACATTTTTTTTTATATTGGTTTTCTTTTAACGCGTTCTTTCTTTATAATGAGCAATTTACTTACAAGGACTGCTTTCCTTACAGTGTTACCCACCAGGAATATACTGGACTTGATTTTGCCAAACAATACACACACACACACACACACACACACATATATATATATATATATATATATATATATATATATATATATATATATATATATATATATATATATATATTATAAAATTCCATATTGCATGCCAAATATATGCAAGTTTAGCACAGTAAAATCACACTAGACGCCAACCTTCTTCATATTCTAGTTCTTTGAGAATATTTCTTGCTTCTTGTATTTCGGGATCGAGCTCTGGAAAACCAGCAGCCACACAGTCGTTGATCACTTTTTCCAGATTTCTTCTGTCTTTTCTTCTAATAGCGCGCTTTAATTTGCCAAGGAGAAAGTCGGGTGATAACGATCCTGACAAATACACAGGTAAAAATAAAAATGATAACCTGTAATAACTGCATTCCAGGTTTCACGATCATTATACAATTTAAAAATATGTTTTGAATAAAAGGAGATATATTTTAAATAATATTCTATACTTTTTGGATAATGGTAGTAGTATCATTTTAATAATTCTCCGAATTTGTGTTTGCGTAAAGAAAGAAGTTCAATTGATATTTTTTTTAATCCGACAATATTTCTTTATTTCTATAAATGTCGTAGTGACCGTTAATGATTGAGTTAAGATCCTTTATTTTAACAATAACATTGACATCTACCAGCCTGAGAAATCAAAAGTCGTAAAAAAAAAATAATTTGCCTCTCTGCAGAGTCCGAACCAGCGTTCTCCTTACTTTTGGAAAGACACTTTTGACAAGGGTGTTTTTTTTTAATATTTAACTGAATATGTAGATTTTGTTAAATGCATATCTATCTGTAAAAACTGTCCAAACGTTCTATATATCCGAGCGCTTTCGGCTATTCTAGTAGCCATTATGAAAGTTTTTTTATTTAAATTATTTTAACTGAATATGTAGATTTTTATATGTGTACCTATAGTGATTGGAATATTTATTTTTTTATTTTCCAAACACGGTCAGCACGTTGTGGCCGTGTTCATGGTTGATATTATTGAGTGTTTGGAAAATTAAAAATAAAAACTTTCCCATCGCTATATATATATATATATATATATATATATATATATATATATATATATATATATATAAATCTATATTCAGTTGAAAATAATTTAAAAATAATACTGATAGTGGCTACTAGAATAGCCAAAGTGCTCGGATATATAGAACATTTAGACACTTTTTACACACTTTATATTTGGAAAAGTAAGCACTTATACGAGCACAAGAAAAATTGAATAAAATGTTTAATTGCTGTACATTGTCAGTCAACTTTAATAAAAAAGGAATTGCCACACAAATACGTAATATATATATATATATATATATATATATATATATATATATATATATATATATATATATATAAATATATAAATGAAATAAATCTTAAAGAGGTTGTTCCTGGCTCTTTAGGATTTATTTCATTTATCCTATCTACTTAACGTATTGGGCAATTTACGTTTTAGCTTTATTACTCGTCTGGTTTTTTTTCTTTGGACTAAAAAACTCAACGATTTATTTCGCCCTGTTTGGATGTTTCTACTTCTTTCTTTTTTATTCATTTTTTTCCCTCGGGTAACAATTTATTTTGATAGACTTACATGTTGTGCTATCCGAGGTTTTTTTCCAACCGAGTATTATTAATAGTATATATGTGTGTGTGTGTGTGTGTGTGTGTGTGTGTGTGTGTGCTGAAGGGCATTTTGGTCAGCGTTTCCACAAAATAATAAACTACCAGTTGGGCTAATAATGTTTAATTCTGCTCGTATAAGTTCCCTATACAAAGGGCATGCACTCATATTGTTATAAAAGGTCAATAATAAAAGTTGATTTTCAGATCATAAATATATCCTTCTTATTCGACTTATTAAAATAAAAGTACTATTTCAGCGGTTGAATAAAACTCTATTCGCAGCAAAAAATATAAATATCTTTAAATATATGAAACAGTTGTTTTCGAAAACACTTCCGCGGCGTAAACACTCATGCAAATGCAGGGACTAATTAACGATGATTCAGAAAGTGCAGGCCAACAATTGTGCTCCCCTACTTCTCGGCTCCCCCCACCACTTTGGTGCTCTAAGTGTTTATTTTAGCTCTGTGCAGGTGCATTACGTGTTTGAACTAGAGCATCAGGAACAGCTATTTTTATGTCATGCTGGCTAGTGCAGACAACACCACAGAGAAATTCTTGCTAACCTCGACGATCTCCTCCAAGACTTTCCAGAGTGTCTCTCGCTTTTCCCAGATCGGAGCCGAGTTCTGGAAATTGAGCTGCTTCGCATTCCTTGATTGCCCCCTCCAAGACAGCTTTGTCTTTTGATCCTGTGGCCACCTGCAACTGGCTGCGTAGTGTCTCAGGGGATTTAACTTCTGAGAGGCAAAACAAGAAGTGCATCAAAGAACAAAAAATAACAGCACCAAAAGAAGAAAGGTAATATATATATATATATATATATATATATATATAAGAAAAATACCGAATACGTTTTGTAAAAAAACATATAATTCATTATATTTATATAAACAGAAAAAACTTTACTTACATTATTTACATTATTCGGACTGCTATTCTCATCTTCATTGCCATATACACAACGTTTCGGCTGTTGTATGCTTCGGCCTTCCTCAAGTGACTGGAATTTCAAATACGAACCCTTTATTTCGTCCACCTTAAGGACACATGGCCCAGTGGATAAAGACGTTGGTTAGATCCAGTGACTATACCTAAAGAGCTGTAAGTTCAATACCAGGCCACAGCAGTGGTGAACCTAACTTGGAGAGTGGAGTTAAAGGGAAATAACTGAGACATCCGGAAGAGGTATGTCACGTGGAAATAGAACAATCTACCTCGGTGAACGAAATAAAGGGTTCGGTTCGAAATTCCAGTCAACGGCAGACACGTTGTGAATATGGCAATGAAGAGGGGGATGACAGTTTGAATAATGTAAATAATCATAATGCCTCACCTCAGAGATATAGAAAATACTTCAATGATTTTAGCTAGTAGTTTTATCACTATGTTTAGCCTTGCGCTAAATTAATTACTCAAACTTTCCCCACGTCTAGAAATCCCAACCTACCCTGCTATTTGATCCCTATATGTCAGAAAGGTGACGAGATGGATGAATGCCTTTCCCAAGGACATTAGTGCGAAAGTGAACGCAACAGATGGACCCAGAATTTGAATACGGGTCGTCGAAACGACTTTCAGCACCGATATCTCTTACACTACCCGCAAATTCCGTAAGTATACTGGCAATGAATGCATTTGTCATTCATATATTACGCTGATAATAGACATAGAAAATTACTTGGAAAAAAAAGGTCGGTTTCTCTTGTCACTGCTCAGAGGCCTGAGGCACTTTAGATCTAAATATATCAGTTGACGTCTGCCTTCAAGCCTTATCCCTTGCCAACAGTGACTTGTGTTCGTTGCAACTACCAAGAATGGACAACTACCCGACCCTATCGTGATTGGTGATTGATTCAGTCAAATGGCGCGCCTTCTAGCGGCATTAATATTTCTAGTTTCAAAAACGATTACTTAACACATCTGAGAGCAGAGAACAAATTTTAGAGCTAACCAAGTTTTGCACGATTTTACCAGAAAGATATCATTTTCGGCGCTTTTTTTAGGCACTTATGCATAGAAAATAAAATTTAAAAGTGGGTGGTTGCAAAAAACTTATTGCGTAATAATTTATACAAGCAATTCAGTCAGAATATAGCTATTACATGTATAAGGACGATTGTTTGAAACGAATTAATGTGTTATTGTTATGTTTACGAACTAATGTTACCTTTGGGACAAAAAAATAAAATACAATTATTTCTCAACAACTCATTACAGTGAAGAAAATGTTATCCTCTGGGACATAGCTAACCTCTTGATACGCCTCCCAATTCTTCCAGTAGTTCTTTGGCTTGTGTGATGTCAGATTCGAGCTCCGGCAATCCAGCTGCCAAACTCATGTTAATGGCTTCTTCCAGCACAGATTTGTCTTTCATTTTGGAAGCGCCTTGCAGTTTCTCTCGTAATGACTCGATCAGTTCTGTTTCTAACAAACGGAATAAAAAATACCCAAAAAATGTTTTAATTTCTTATATATTTCCGTTTCATGGCTTAAAACTGTAAAATCACTTTTCAACTCATTACTTAAATAATATCTTACAAATACTATAAACAAATAGTAACAGTAACAAAGTTTTGTGAAGTCTTTAATATCAGTCATTGTTTCGCGGTTTAAACAGCGTAAAACTATCACAAAGCACTCTAGGAATTCCTCGTCATATCCAGTAATGGGATCCAAGGAGCATGCAACAGTTGATGTGAAAAGTTTCATAACATAATACACTTCACAGAACTTGCTGATTTAACTTGTTTGTTGGGTCATATCTCTCAAAAGTAAGATAAAGAGAGAGGGAGATAGATAGATAGGCATATATTAACCAACTGAGATATATAAACAAATATTAACAGATTGAGATAGATAGATCAACTAAAATAGATAGATGATTGGCCTCTATGAAATTTGATAATAGGCAAAGCAATCTAAATAAAAAGAATGTAAATTATTATTAATAATAATAATAATAACATTACTAATCCGAATTAATTATTGAAACATTCAAAATAATTAGTTACAATTTGAAAAATTATTTTCAAAAATGTTTTTTTGCTAACCTTCTCGTCCACCTCCTAACTTTTCCAGTGCGTCTCTTGCTTTGCGGACATCAGGGCCTAGTTCCGGTAAACCAGCCTTTACTGCTTCCGCTATGGCTTTCTTTAATAACGCTACGTCCTTTTGTCGTGTAGCTCTTCTTAGCATGTCTCGTAATTCATCGACTCCTTTAGTTCCAGATAATAAGACATTCGTTTAGAACAAAATTAATTACTTCAAGAACTCATAAAAATATTTTATTCTTTTTACTCTCTTTTGAAAACAACACTTTTTCAATGTTTAAAAACATTGATAATCAATAATTATAATTCAATAAGCAATAACCATAATTCTATTACAATATTTCATGAAAAATAAGTATTGTCAGTGGTAGGGAATTAACGCAAGTTTTACTAGTAGAATAATGCTATTATATGTATAATGGAAACAATTTGTTAATGGTTTTGATATAGAATTGCGTTGAAAATCAGGAGCAAAATGTGTTTAGGGGTCAAGAATTAATTTGAATGATTTTAATTCCAAGAATGATGCTTTTTAACAGTTAATCTTTAACAGGTTAAGATTGTAGTCATCGGCAGTGCATCTTCTTGGCAGTCGGTTCCACAAGGAACATGGGGATGTTATATGCTTAATGTAAATTCATAACTAATATTGTTTATTATACAAATACATTACAAATAATTTTACTTGAGAAATTACTTGTAAGGAGATAAATTGCTATTTGTCAGGAATTTAAATTTTACTGGCATAATGGAGACATAATAACGTATCTAATGTACAAAGAATAGATAATGGTTTTATTACAGAAATATTTATTATTGTATTGCAAACTTCATTATTGTTGATTAAAAAAGGACTTCTAGTGGTAAGATATTATTGAAAGCTTTGCTTGCAAAATAATTCGTATAATATAAATGCATTGCTGAGGTTTTTATAAGAATGAATTGTGCAAAAGAAAATAGTATTTTCATTGGTCAAGTATTAATGAAAGCCTTATTGACAGAATAAAGCTACTTTATGTATAACTTAGAAAATACTATAGACACTGGAAAAGCTATTTTTCTAATTCCTGTAATTAATTAAACACAATGAATACAAATGCCACATTCTTTTCAGTGCTTCGCAATTAATCTATTTGTGCTGTTTAAAAAAGTGTCGATTTCTATTTAAACAAATACCATTGACTTTCAACAAAACTTTTTAGAAACAAGGCCAACCTTCTGGGATTTTGCCCAGTTCCTCAAGAAGTTCCCGTGCTTTGCTTATTTCTTCATCAAGTTCTGGCATTCCTGCAGCTACACATTCATTAATCACTCTTTCAAGGCTCTGAACGTCTTTTCGTCGCATAGCTCGCTTCAATTTCTCGATAAGCGCCCCAGGGGTCTTGATTCCTGAGAGAGGAAATTATACGTTCAGAAAAGGGACACCATTTTTCATTTAAAATAACCATTGCCTTCATTAATATTTTCACCTATAATAATGCCTACCTTTTTCACCTATAACAATGCCTACCTTTATTTTCACCTATATCAATGCTCGCCTTTACATAATCAAGAACTACTAACATTTTTATTTGAGAAACTGACAACCCATAAAATTATTAATATCAATTTATTTTAATGTTCCTTAATTCATTCGTACGTTCAATTTTCATTGTCTCCCAATACAGAGTGACATGACTATTATTTTTACACTTAAAAAATAATAATAATCTATAAAATTATTGTTTTAAAATTTTAACACCGTTCAATCCTGCAGACGTACGGTATGCTTTCAATATATATCCTAATGTTTAAATACAATGCTGTAGACATTATAGTATATTATTTAGATTAGTGTTTTAAGATAACAACCTATAATATTCTTTTTTTTCTCATTCTTTACTTTGTTCATTCCTACAAATGTACGCTACGCTTTCGGTATAATATTTAATGTTTAATCTACAAACATGTAAACAGTACACAATAACATTAACAATATCATTTTATATTTAAATGATTTATATTATCTTATTTATTCGTTATATTATTCCTGCAAAACTATTTTCTGCTTTCATCTTATTTTCAACCCTATATATATCTTTTAATAGACACTACACTGTAACATACAAAAAATCTTTACATCCTATATTTTTACGTTACTATGTTTTCATTGTCTTCAATCTCTACTTTGCTATTTGGTAGGCAAGATAAATATATTATTCCCAATGACGTTTCATAGTTAAATAATGATAATCAATAATTTTATTTATCAACTCATAAGCATTTCCTTCTTTTTTTTTTTTTTTGAAACCAATTGTAATTACGAATCTATCATTCTAACTGTTCCTTGACTATATCAAAAGGGGGGGATGAAAAATGGGTTCAACGCAAACAACCAGTACAACCGTTTTACTTAAGACAACCGACGTTTGTACAAAGACTTGAATTTTTTTAAATGTTTTTTTTTTTTTTATACTTGCATACAATTTTTTAACCTAACTTGAAGCAGATAAACATAATGTCGATATATCGTTAAACCCCGATTTTTTTTTCTTTTCTTATCCTTTTCTTAAAGCGCGCTCTTAAGTGTTTCATAATATTGGAAAAGTTATATCAATTATTATGTTTAATAATAATAGAAGCGACAACTCTGAACGACAAAGCATTTAAGATTTGGTACGATGCTAACCTCCACGGCCTCCGCCTAAAGTCTCCAAAGTGTCCCTAGCTTTGCGAAGGTCAGTTCCTAATTCAGGATAGCCTGCTTCTTCACAGTCAATAATGGCCCTTTCCAAAGCCATTTTATCTTTCTGCGCAATGGCTGTGTTGAGTCTGGCACGAAGGGCGTCGGGAGTTTTAAAGCCTGAGGACAAGAATCAAATGGTTCGTTACAAGAAATCAAAAGAGAAACAGAATTTTGCAGAAATTTGATCCTATACCTTCGTAATTAACCCAATAAAATTCTCCTTTTTGTGGCATGCTGGACTTTAATCTCGTACAGATAGAAACCGATGGTACCCGAGTTTTAAAAACCTATAATTAACAGGATTTTAAAAATAAAATCTGATTCATATATTTTTTAAATTGTTAAATTAATAATAGATTTTACGGCGAAAATTTATGATTTAAACGAAATAATTCATAATGATCAATGTTAAATAAACTCAAGGAAAGCATAACAAGTGTACGATTGCCGTAATGGTATATTAGACTAGATTACTAATCCTTGTTCTACAGCTTGAGATGGAAATCAAATGTCTTATTTAAAGAAATAGTCTGATTGCAATACAAATATTATGTGTGGGTAAAAGACCGCAACGCTATATTTTTAACACTTTGAATACACATTTGAAAATCGATTTTTTCACTGGCAATTTCCAACGTAATAGAAGCACAGATCTAACCTCCTCGACCGCCTCCCAACATGAGTAAAACATCTCTGGCGTGGTTTATTTCCGAATCAAGCTCAGGAAATCCAGCGGCTACACATTCATTAATGACCCTCTCGAGGGTCGGGCGATTTTTTTGGCGTATGGCCAGTGTCAATT